TGCTCTAAGGTAACCAGTCAATCGTTCACTTTTTCTGATACAATATACTTCCGCCGTGAGTAAAATATTAAACTCGATCCTACTTTTTTCGCAAGATAAAGAACATTCAATCAATTTTATATTATCGATCTTATTCCGATCATATATTCAAGACGATCTTATTTCATCTTAAGTTTGGTTATGGCCGTAAGATTCATCCATCTAATGAAATGGTTGCTCAGAGCCTTCAGATCGTATTTAAGACGATCATGAATATAAGATTGGACTATGAATACTGTCCCTAGTGGCGGCTCAGTTTTATTTTTGTTTCTCTTTATTGCATGCAAAATATTTATGGTAAACACTTTAAGAATATATAAAAGTTTATATGCTATGTGTATGCGATTTATTGTTTATGAATATAAAAAACATTCAATGACGTCCCTAGAAGAAAAAATAATGGCGAAATGAGCAGGCTAATAGTAATAGAAGTCTGTGGTTCTATCTACAAGAGTCATATACATATAAAAATCATATAAGAAACACATATATGAAATTCTCGCACAAAAATACGTTATTTTAATATTTAAAGGATACAACTCCACTTCTTGTGACATTAATTAATTACTCTTTCAGAGTTATATGTACAAGAATATTCTTTTTATTTTGAGTCTTGTACCCATCCAACTTCTACCATGGTCAGCATAAGACCACAATTCTTAATTTTCTTTCTTTATTTAACTCTAAGTACCGATATCTTGAAATTGATGAAAATGTAACTGTGCCACTATTAAAATAACGCCTTCGTGTATGATTCTATATACTCTCTGCCACAGATTTATCTCACACGGATACTGTATTTAAAGTTTGTATTACATATGTACAATATAAAATATTTATAATAATTGGAATAAGTAACAGTTTCTCTAATGTATACGAATTATTAAAAAATAAATATATAATTATATTTTAATTAATTAATATTTATATTTTATTAATTATTATATATTTATTATATAATAAATAATAAATAATAAATAAATAATAAATAAATATATAATTAAAAACTATTAAAAAAGCTTAAAAATTATTACAATCCATTTCTTTCATCTTTTTTCAGACAGAGAATATGGCATTTTTTAACGCTTATTTTGAGAAGGATTTAAGCCAATATCCTCGTGTCGACAGAGCATATGAAGGAAAAGATTATGTTGATTTCAGATACCAATTTGTTAAGGACAGCAATAAGAGAGAGATGGATATAAAAAAGAACAAATCTTTGCAAAGAAACAGCAAAGAAATTTTAAAAGATACTTCGAAAAACTTAATTGAGAAACCTTATACCTCAAAGTGGTATAAGAAGGATTTGTCAAGATTTTTTATTATGGTGCATGCATTTTCTGATATTAGTTGCTATTGTTTTGTAGAAAATAATGAAATACTAACTTTATACTGCAATTTTGTAATATTCGACATCTCATTAACATTTTTAACACAGATTTCTGGTGGGTTTGAAATCTCAACATCTCCATGGCAGAAAGAAAGAAATGTTTCAGACACTTTTACAATTAATAATAATCAATTGAAAGATGACAGCAACGTTTTTTATAATCATGTCGGCACGTGTCATTTGAATTAATAAATAAGATATTGTTAAAAAATATGTTTGTTGAAAAGAGATTGGAATTAAGTTTTCTCTTTTAAAGATCTCCAGTTTGAGGAAGCTGTATATCCACTCAGAGTCTGTATATATGAAATGTATGATCCTGGGTATATAATTCAAATTTTGGCCCAAGATTCTCAAGATAATCGATGGATTGCATTATGGACTAGCCAATTTCAGTATGCTCATTCACGTAGGACAGGGACATTTTACACTCCTCCGCAGTCCTTTAAAACCAAAAAGTTACGAATAAAATTTCTGCACTCTCTATGGGAATATTTCTCATGTCTAGACAGTGTAATGCTTATCGGTACATCAAAATTGATCCGTCCTCATAATTCTAAACAGAGTGTATTTGAAGTATTATCGGAAATTTATCAGACCTCCTGTCATGGACACTGTCGTGCACGTGAACGTTTCGAAGATATAAAATATCTTCACAAGCATTTTTCTGAATATTGTACTATTGATAAAAGGTACTATAATCATCGAATATTATAAGTAATATTTAGTCTTTTTTTATTTTTCTAATAATGACCATTAATTTATATCAATGTTTATAGAAATTTGCATTCGGATTATGCAGAGATCATAAAAGATATCAGATATCTCTTTTTAGATGAATCCGAGGGACAACCACGTTGCAGTTTTTCTACGCTGCCAGTAAAGTATTTGAAGCAGTTAATTTTTTATAGCAATATTTTTTATCTGCTATTTAAGTTACTTTATATCTTATACTTTATATATTGAAATTTTATATTTTATGTTTACAGGACAAAATCATACTAAATATATTTCAGAGTTTAGATATAAAATCGTTGTGCCGTATGAGCACAATGGATAAACGTCTTAATAATTTAACACGAGATGCTTCTCTGTTTAAGTGTTTTAATGTATTAAATATGCGCAATATGAATGCCATGTATATTGATAATATTTTATCATACTGTACATCCAGATGTAGACATATTCAACAGTTGGATTTTACATCAAGCGATATTTCCATTTCGAAATTCAGAGAATTTCTTCAAACTTGCGGTGGGCGTTTAACGCATTTACGATTACGTAATTGCAAATTTGTCGGTAGTTATGCATTATTTACAATTGCGGAAGTGTGCAACAATTTAAAAGGTACATAAATAAATATGAGTATTAAGACTATGGGTAAATTGTATGTGAATAATCATATATTTTTTAGTATTGGATCTCAGTTATTGTAATTATTATGGAAATGCAATTTTGCATCTCCAAAATTTAGAATTTTTAGAAGAGTTAAACCTTAACGGTACACATATAATACCTGAAGCTCTTTGCCCAATACTGCGAAGAAATCGTCGAATGCGTGACTTAAGGTTGAACCGCTTCCCGATTGACAATCCATTTATAATATTTGCATTATGTCCGTCTGTAAATCGAGTCAACAAAATATATGTCGACTCTATTATAATAGAATTGAGAAATTCGTGCCCGGACTTGGAAATACTAGATATATCTGGCGGTACAATTACAGATCGAGGTATTGATGCTCTCGCCGAGTGTAAGAACTTACGAACGCTGGGCATTTGGAATAGGATGTACGTGCATTCTACACTTTTTTTTAATACATATTACCACTTTTTTAATTGAAATTTGTATATTTATATCTCCTGCAGGTATCATGAAATAACTATGTTGTTTTCTTTTTTCGATTGAAAAATCGTAGTAATATCATGGCTTTTATTTTAGGTTAAAGTGGGATGGTTGACAAGAATGACTGGCGTAGATTGTTTTCTGACTGCCAACGTTTGGAAGAAGTAATTTTGACATATCCACAATTCTTGCTCAATGTCCTAAACTGCAGTTGCATGCTACGTAGGGCAAATCGATCTTATTGTTAGTTTGCCGGTTGATGGACGAAGATTCACCAGTGACCGGTAATTATGCATAAAAGGGACCTCCTCTCCGATTTGCTTGATTTTTAAATATGTTGTTGGGGATGTCTTCCCGAGTCATTTCATACAGGGTGGTCTAAAAGTCCCGGATCGGTTGAATATCCCGAGAAATTGTGGGTGGATCGGAAAACGGAAAAATACGTATTTCCTATTTTTGAAAGAGCTATCGAATGATACCAAAATTGACCCCCCCACCCCCACCCACAGGGGTGTACATACATATTATGTATATTATATGCATATGTATGTACAAATTTTGTACATCCTACGTATCTACATGTATATCTTGTGTACATATACTACATGTACCTGTAATGGTGAACAAATCAATATACGTCATGTATACACAAAATGTGTAAATCATGTACATATGTGCATACCTAGGACTTCCTATGTACATTCTTCCGATGACATTTGCACATACATTTGATATCCAATGTATGTACTGTGTACTAAAAATTCATATACACTGTATACAGAGTGAGTCTTTCCATATCCGACAAAATTTTTGAGAAGGTAGGCCGGCCTAAGACAACGATTTTTAATAATTAATTACTCGTTAACTATTACGAAAATTGCAAAATGGTACAGGACTTTTCCGTTCATCTCGATCCGTTCTACCTTCTCAAAAATTTTGTCGGATATGGAAAGACTCGCCCTGTATACATCATACATAAACGTATATACATTGTATATACACTGTGTATCATAATGTTTTGTGGGATATGTCAAGTATGTTATGCACATTTTACCGTTATCATGATTCAGAACATGACTCGTCAACACGATTAAATAATGCAGTTAAATATTACATCAGGTAAATGGTTCAACAGCACAATGTACTTCCGCAACTAGTTTCATATAGCACGTTTGTCTGCGAGGTACATGCAAATTACGCTTCAGTTTGTACGATACAGAACTATTATACTGATTTTTGCTTTCTCTGCAATAATTCGTGTTTGATTAATAGTCAATAATTCACGGCATAGATGTGGCTGATTCGCGCTGATGATTACGCATTCCTCGTAAGGGCATACGGGGCCACGAATGCGCACTGTTGCAGCTAACGCAATCGCGTCGTAATTGAACCATTACGAGCGTCAGAGAATGTAAGTCTCGGGCCGTGCCGCCTCTGCGAATCGGTGATCGATGCTTTACGACCTAAATGATCTACGATCGAATGTTATGCTCGGTTCTGTTTCGGCTGGAAAATTGCGCGATGTTCCATGATCGACGACGGTGCAGCCTTATCAAGAGACACGGTGGTGTCTCGCGCCAAGAGTACGTGCAATGGCGAGGAAGATCGTGTGTCTATACGCGAGCCGACCGGTTAAGAGAATTTTAGATTATCGAATCTCTCGATAAACCAATCTGAACCAATCAAGCTTTGAGTAAGTTCAATCGACAGCTTGGGTTCAAATTATATAATAAATAACTAATAAGAATTCTTCAATTCCGCCTGCGATAATTAACAACGTCAGTGTTTTCTTGACCATACACCTAGCATTTTTAATAATACAGAAAATTTATTGCGAAAAATATTTATACCTCAGCTAGGGTTTGAACCTGGGCCTCCCTACACTCTAGGTGAGCGTCTCACCAATTCGACCACCGAGGCATATAATGTTATATAATAAATGTTGTGATTTTTCGTCTATGAGCGGAAATAATACGACGCCAAATCCGAATTGACAAATTTAAGCAACGTCGCAAGACGAAGCACAAATACAATTGGAGGCACATGCTCTGTTTACTTTCTTCTGGAGAACAGTCTCGGATATATGGCTAACGGAAAAATTAATATTCAGAAAAGGCAGATAAACAGATGATATAAATTGGTATTTGAGGCTTTTACGGCGGACATAAAAATATAAATCGTTGATTTGAATCGCTTTAAATTTAGATTATTTTTATATCGATATAAATTCGGACTTAATAAATTTCGACAAGGACCGGTTACTATTGGAAACGGCATTTATTATCCCCGGATATTTTACGGTATGGCCGTGGAAGTTTTCGTTCAACGTAAAATTTAGCATTCGATCCTTAATTATTATTCTAATTGAAGAAGAGTATCACGAGTGTTTTTTTTGCACGCGATTTAACAGAACGAGACCGCGATACGGCGCGTGAAGTAAAAGTATTTATAGGCTGAAGCTTCTTGAACGGAATCTAGAGCAGACTCGTTCGTCCGCGACGAACGATCGAACGCCCGATATTTATCATATTGTTTTATTCATCCATCGATTATTATCCTTGTCGTTTTGCAAGCATCACGCAGCAAACGCTGCGTAAAACACGGGGGAAAAAGAAAGGTTGGGTCGTTTGCGAATGAGGCAAATCGATCTGTATAAATTGGCGAAACTACCGAAGGGAATTTATTCATCGGACACTCAAGTTACGTTACAAAAATTTTGAAATATACAATATTGTTGACTGCAGAGAAAGTACGAATATCTTTCTTTTAATTTCTATATTCGCTGGCTTTGTAATTAACGTATAATTACAAACCTTCCGTATCTTTTTAATGGACCATCACACTTTTTATGAACAGTTTACAACAGGTCCTAAGCGAGTTCAAAACGAATTTACTATGATGTCGGGTTGAAGATAAAGCAGCGTCTCGCGCATATTAAAAATTATAATAAAACTGTTCCTTTTTTTAACGCGTGATAAAATACGCAACGTTTTTGCAACACTTCTCAACACGCTGTAAATTTTCATTTCTGTTGTACAATTAGCTACGCACCACATGATTAATATTGCCCGACTGACAAACAGAGGTATTACCAGTGTGCCAACTAGAACTGATCTCATCTATAATGATGACTACTGTGCCCATTCGTTGTTTCGTAATCGTTCTCTAATCATCGACCGGTTCAGGTGTTCAGGTAGAATGGATTATTGCCAATATAGACACGGGCAATCTTCTAGCCGAGCACATGGTAAATGGTACAGTGCATTCCATAGTGGTGAGATCGCAGACATACGTACGGGCGTTACAATAGTGCCCGAGCCCGGGCTCGAAACGCCGCTGAACAATCGCCGTCCTACGCGCCCATTCCTCGAGATTCTCCATCCAGGCGCGAATAGTGGCTGGAACTAGTTCTGCGGATCAGCCAAGGCCTAGATCACCGCCGTCGATGTCACGGCAATTCGTGTTTGTAGATTATCAATGACATCCACATCGACGCGAATGACCTCGGCAGTTAGCTCGAAGATCAATCTTGCGCAATCCTCGTGGCATTACATTGTACACAAAGAATAATAATAACATCCTGGACACGCGCTTCATAAAGTAAATATAACGAGAGGTAATGAGATAAAGGCAATTGCCTTTTTGATTTTGTTAATGGTGAGGCTCGTAAAATTGTTTGCCAAAATGAGTAGCATTTTCTACGTTTTTTTTTTAGCCAAGTGAATACGAAATATTTTCGACTTATCATTACTTCATCAGGAAACTTATTCCCCGCGAGACTCCGTTTAAAAATTCTTACGATGAAATGTCAAAGTTGATGTCTCCGCGACGCAATTCGTCGGACCCTCGTAAAACGTCTACGCCTTGCGCACAGATTAATAGAGCTCGATCAGGAGTTCGGGTTCTTTCTCTCCTTGTCTCCTACGCAAATCTGATTAATATAATATCCATACAGTCGAACAGCGGCCATTGATCCGCGCGCGTATCTGATACGTTCGTGATGCTTAAGACATAACTCGAATTGAGCGCCGGCTTGTTCTAGCGGATGTATATTTCCTCAGCCGTAACAAAAATCCGTATCAGATGGCTTAAATTCTTGACGGTTAATGATGGATGCAAAACTGGAACGTCATCGGCTTAGTTGTTCCTGTGATTGTTTTATCAATGTTATTTATATCTTACACTCGCATGTAATTTATCACATATGATTAGTGACTTTATTAATTGGCACGTGTTGATGAATAATATTAATACTAGTAATAAATAATAATAAACTAACCGAAGACTTAATTTTATTAGTAACTGGTCATTAAAATTTATAAAATTTATTAATACATTGAAAAATTAATAGAATTTTTACAATTAAAGTAAAACTGGAGTACACGATGTAACAATACACGAATCGATTGTTTGAATCATATGTGGCTTTTAGCGGAACATTAGAGGAAAGTCCTTTATTGTGCGATGGATTTCTGATATGAGATGGCAGGTTTTCAACACCCAAATTCAATCTCAAATCTTCTTTTCGCAGCGATTACACAATCTAACAATGAATTTCCCACTAAACAGATTTCACTCCAAAAGCAATAAATTCATGGTGGAATCGACTGACGATGCCTACTAATTTAACAGAAACCCCGCTGTCCCATATTAGGATCCTATCTTATATCAGGGGACTTTCTTCTAATAATTACAATAGATTCAATGTAAAGCTTCCTGATTGATGAACAAGTAGGCTTGATAATTTATGCACGATAATTTCAAGATAAATCCACAGAACGCGACAGCATAATGCAACACTGTCGTTTCTCGTGATCTCAAAAGTGATTCGCGCAAGGAAGCCTTTGCAGAATCGCCTTCGCCAAGATGTTTGCAGTAGATTGTCTATACCGCGAGACAGAAAAAAACCTGATCCACACGTGGCTAACCGTAGAGCACACCTACGTCCAGCGAGCTAACGGCTATATCGAGCATATCGGTGGTCTTGGCTGGTTTGGCCGGTCACCTACTTTCGGTTACTTATCTTAATCTCCGTTCGCGCGACGCCGATACAGATTACGTTTAACCGCGGCCGATAGTGGTTTTTGCTCGTTGCAACAAGACGCCACGCCGGCGGATCCTACTTGACGGCCCCTCCTCTCTCTCGTCCTTCTCTTCCGAGGTAGAGCGCCAACAATATCTCTGTTTCGTCTCTTTTTCGTCTTACTATTATGAGGAACGTAACACCGAATTACGGTTGTTCGGTAAAACCGAAGTGCAGCTGCGTAGAATGCGGAAGTGCACTCGTCGCGGATCGATTAC